GAGAATACATGCAAGAGGAACACCCTTATCATTTGAGCGAAGTGTAGGGAGAAAAATGGAATATGGAGTGAGGATAAAGAGACCCATCTATCTAGAAATTATATTTGTTCAATAGACCTTTGTCAATGAAAATACAATGGTAAGAAGGACACCGTCTTCGCTTATCTAGAAGGAGGGCCGCCAGCCTCGTGTTGGAGGCTGAGTAGCATCGCCGAGAGTGCTCGCGTTGGCCGCAGTGTGACGGAGGGCGCAAGCGTTGTGTTTGTTGTCGTCCCGGCCATTGGATCTTCCGTCAAAGGTGCTCTGCCATTGGATCTTGCGTCAAAGGGCATGAGCACGTGGTGCCCCAGACGATGTGGTCCATCGCCGCCATCTCTGCCTTAGGCCGGTGTGATGCGGTGTGCAGCCGCCGTCGCTGCCGGTTTTCTCTCTGGCCTTAGGGCCAGTTCTTTTGATCCAATTATGAAGAATTACGAGAATCAAAAGAACTCGTTTCTGCCTCAGGAATCACCTGAGAATTATCAGAATCAGTAGTGCAATCCAAAAGCACCCCCCACCCACGATTCTGGCAATTCTGCGAGCTCCCGCAAAACAAAACGGTTCGCTGCTGGTGCCTACCCCTGTTCGAGCGTCATATTACACGTACACTGCTACTCGGGCGCGTACGCTCGGGCTAGACGCCTGCCGCCCAGATCTCAACTTCCTCGCCGGAGCTCGGCCAGCCCTCGCCGGAGCTCGCCCCAGGCCGCCCTCGGCCGAGCTCGCACGACGCCGGAGCTCGGCCAACCCTCGCCCAAGCTCGCCCCAGGCCGCCCTCCGAGCTCGCCCCAGGCCGCCATCCCGATCTCAGCCATCCCTCGCCGGAGATCGGCCATCCCTCTCCCCAGGCCGCCTCATCCCAACCCGATGGTGAGGTGCTCTTCCTCGTCATCCGAGCTGACTGCTCGGCCCCAAATCCTCTCAGCTCACCGCGGCGAGCAGGAAAGCAGAGCAGGAGCGCTCACCGGAAGGAAAGAGCAGTGCTGCTTGCCATCGCGTCCCTTTCTTCTCTGTTCTGTCTCCTCTCTTCTCTGTCTCTTCTCTGTAATTTTGTCCAATGTTGTGACTAGGAACCTGAACTCTTATCTCTGTAAAAATACCATTGGATGCTAGCAGTTATCTGAATTTACAATCTTCAGTCTGGGCAGCACCTATTTGTAATGCGGTAAAAAAATTGTATGCTCACTTGTTTGCTAAATTGTATGGATTGATGGCTCCTCTGATATTTATTTTATATTGTAATATTAGACATGAGAATGTCCAAAATAACCAAGTGTTAGCAATTCAACCCTTAGTTCAATCTAGAGGCGTTACAGACATTTCGGCACACAACTCATACAACAATCACATGTTAGAATTACGGAAAAGAACTGGACAGACAATTCTGTGGGCAGACGATTCTGTGGGCAGTTTACAGAATCATAATTCTCCAGAATTATAGGGCGAAAAGAACTGGCCCTTAGAGCGTGCTGATAACGTGTTACAAAACGAGAGAAAATAGACAGAGATGTAAAAGTGAACGGTGTCTCTCTTTCATTGACGATGATGCTTATATACAAGTTGGAGGGACGCAACCAGAGGATGCGTCCGTTCCATACGGATGCGACGCTTAGCATTAGTGCTAATTGCCCGACTGAGGGACGATTTACCCCATACCTAACACATGTTAATTAACTCTAACAAAATTTACCACTGCGGCTGCTACACAGCTCATCCAGCGAAGGCCAAATTTGACGTTTTGAACCTTTTGCAAAAGCTTAGCCGAATCCGGCCCTAGCTCAAAAAAAATTCAAGATCTGACCCTTTTCCTACCGCAGGGGTCGATGACAGTAGGGTATACTAGCCTACCGCCAAGGCCCCTGGCGGTAGCCAACTTATCCACGTCAGCGCAGTGCGGCCCTACCGCCAAACATTCACTATACTTGAAAATTATTTGCGGTAGGGTGTGCATCCCTGGCTCTTATACCACACTCTTATACCTTACCGTCATAGACTCTGGCGGTAGAAAAAGGGTCAGATCTGGAAAAAAAAAAATCAGACTAGGGTCAACTCCGGCTAAACTTTCACAAAGGGTCAAAACACAAAATTTAGCCCCAGCGAACCCACACACCAGGATGAGCCCGTTCCTAAATTGCATAAGTCTTTTTAGAGATTCCACCATGGCCTACATACGGAGCAAAATGAATTAATCTACACTACAATATGTCTATATACATCAATATGTAGTTTGTAGTAGAATCTCTAAAAATACTTATATTTAGATACGGAGGGAGCAGAAAACATCTGCCACAGCCCACAGGCCCACAAAACAGTACGGAGGTCCACATTCCAGCCAGAGCAAACCTCCTGCTAGCCTGAGCGTCGCCCAAGATAGCGACGCATAAACTTGAAGAAGATAAACATCACCTATACAATTCAACAGCTAGGTAGGTTACTATAATAAGGCAGTCCAGTATTAAGCCCGTACACATACACCACACTGGAAGGTAGGATGGTTTTGCCCATCTACTACTCTTTGGGTCATCTATTTTGGAACGGAGGGAGTACATAAATACATATATTAACAGCTCCAGTGGCGTCGTCATCAGGCCTCTTCTTCGATCAGCAGCTTGGCTACTGTTAAGATCTAGATAAAACTTCTTCACCTTACCTTGGCTATTGGAAAGAGACATCATGTATCTCCCAGCGGTTCGAAGGAAGAGGTCCCCTGTTACCAGAAGCATAGCCATGATTACTACTGGTTTCCAAACAATTTCTACTCCCTCCGTTCCCAAATATTTGTCTTTCTAGGCGTTTCAAATGGACACAACATACAGATGTATGTAGACATATTTTAGAGTGTAGATTCACTCATTTTGCTTCGTACGTAGTCACTTGTTGAAATCTCTAGAAAGACAAATATTTGAAAACGGAGGGAGTAGGAAATAAACATTTCTCACAGTTCGGACCATAAGCAATGATCCTATAGACCATAAGCAACAGTGTCAAACTATGAGAGGATATTACCTTGCATAGTATTGACAATATGTAACCCTCTTCAAATTTCAAGTTTGAAACACACAAGGGTTCTGCATATGCAACAAGCGCAGAACTACTAGCAAGAATGACCATGTTGAAGAAGTAATCTTAATGAAAGGTTCACTCCATGTCTATACTGTCTAAAAGAGGACCATGTCAGCAAACACAGGCTTTCAGTACTGCTTTTACCTCACTAGGTGTTGGATGACACTGCGAAGGAGGAGGTGAATCAATGGTAGATGACTCCACTGCTATTGTTGACGGATGGCTGGGGTACCTGAAATCATAGGCAACAGCTGATAGTAAGATGATGGAAAAACAGACACCTAGGCAGCACATAAAAAAGTAGCACATCACAGCATAGCAGAAATAGATAATTTCATCTTTGTTGCTTATTATATTCAAATGAACTCAAATAATGAATATAACAGTTTAGTTGCTTTTAGGCTTACTGATTACATATTTTAAACTTGGTGCTCATAGGTTTTTTCTTCCTCCTTTTTACTTTCAAAACACATAATACAAAATTGCACAGAACATGTCCACCCATCAACCGTAACAGCACATGTGAGAGAGTTACTACCAAGAAAATGTATCTTGCGAGTAATTTTTAACGTGACGATGGTCCGTTCCAGGGCTACAGAGCTACAGGTCAATAGAGGAGATAGCAGAATACCATAAGCTTCACCAATGTTTTTACCTCATGAGGTCCAAACTCACTGCTATAAGTGAAAAGCTGTTTTAATGGTGGTGGCTTCTGCCACAGTGGCTGGTAGTTGTGACGACCATGTACAGGGGCAAACGATGCATAACCAGGGCCACATGGTCCATCTGGCTTGTTGAAGTATTGCCGCGCTGGCTGGAATGGTACATTCTAATTAATCTTTCTTGATGATGATGAGAAAATAGACAACTGTGAAACAGGGTATATGGAATACGACATACCAGATTGTTTTGGGGCCACAATGACTGCCCAGGGGGATAGCATTGCACATCCCACTTTTTGAAGCACTGCTGTTGTGTCTGTCAATGGTGCATTCTAATTAATCTTGCTGAACGATTAAGGGGATATGGTTTGGAAACAGGGCATATGGGATTGCCAACTATAGATGCATGGCAAAGCGAACAACAGCACAAGGACGAAATTCACAAAAGCAAGTTCACATGGATCTCGGCCAAATATACCTTCCGCTCTTTCTTCCACTCTAGCTCATGCTCTATCTCCCGCTCTAGCTCCAGCACCTTCTCATCAAGCTGCTGCTCGCATCGCCAATAAAAGAGAAAGTGAGAGAGGGAAATCAGATGAGCCACTGATAATAAATAGAACTCAAATTAGACTGCCGTCGCGGAACCTTCCGCAGATTATTTTCAATAGGATGGACCTGGGAAATATGATCATTCTGCATAATACTCCCAGCAGCATACCGTGCACGCTTGTTTTTCTGAGCCCATTCCAATGGCCTGATGAACAGAAAGTCAATTAGGCAAGAGATCAGGTAAAACTAATTGGAAAATAGCCATCAAATTATAGAATGAATTGATCTAAGTCGGATCATAGGTGCCCAGGCCTTAGGAGAAGAGAGGTTCCGAAGAGAATAAGAAGCTTGCCATTGGATTTTGCTCCTTGGTTCGCAGGAATTGAGCTCACCCACACAGATCTATGCACAGAAGAAATGGCAAGTTACTTGGCGGAAATTCTTTCTTTGAAATAAAAAGTGATGCAAAATACTTACTGAGGAGTTACTTGGATGATTTGCAGAGCTGCTAGCCTCCTCTGGGATCTTGCGACACGCTGAGACTTCAGTGCCTACACAAACCGCTAAATTCATAAGCAACACCATACTCACAATCCTGGGTTTCTTAGGAAACCGGCAAATATGCAGAAAACACACAAAGCAATATGCAGGCATCAGGCAGACATCAAGTGGCTCCAAACAGCCCCCAGGTTAATTTGCCAAGGCAGGCAGTCACAAGAACATAATAACTAAGTAGATAAGGACTGTAAGCATTGCATAGGCATGGCGAACAATAAGAGCAGCTAACAGTTACCTGGAGTCATATCCAGATGGCGGGACAATGTACAGGCAAAGAAAGGATGTTGAAGGTCATAGCGAAGTTCGTAATAAAAATCATCCGGAAGATAATACTTTCCAATTGCTTTCACTGCCTTGTTTCCCAAGTCAAGAGCGGCCACCCATCCATCCTGAATACTAGGTTCCAACACAGATTTGAGATAAAGAATATCGTCACCATCCGGGCTCAGGATAGGGAAAGCTGAGTAGAGGTCCCCCAATGTCAACTTTTTGCCCAGCCCGGGCAACAAAGACGAATGCGCTGATCCGTCGTCAACCAAGATGTCAGCGACATCAGCAGCGCATGTCTGGCGCCAACCGTTAGATGAAACTGTCCGAGTCCATGTGACAGCCCTACAGGCACCCCCAAAATACAGCTGCTTGGAATTCCAATCCTCTTTGCGCTCAAGCGACATGATCAAGTCCGAATCGTAGATAAAACCCTCCTTGTCGCACTGGATTCCAGGAGCAAGATTCTCCATCTCAATAAATTTGAGCACGCCATCAACGCATGTGAGATCCCGAAACCACCAGAGATTTGGGTGAGATTCGTCCTCTAGTTTTCTCTTTCTCTTTGCGGTGCTAGGCGGAATGGGACAATTTAGTTTGTATCTGTTCTCAGGTAACAGCTCCGGCAACGGGATGAATCTTACATTATCTTGACGCAAGTCGCACATCAGCAGGCCGTGTGACAAATCAACCCACCCTAGTAAGCCTTCTCCAAGCGAGATCACCTTGTCGGGTATAATCCTGTGGATCCGAGGACATGGATTGGGCAGTGTCCTAGTGGTCCAGGACTTTTTCTCGGACGAGTAGATTTGAAAGTGATAGTCATCCGACGACGGCGGGAGGCAGAGAGCGGCCACGAGATAGTGGCTGCCGAGCTGCAGGATGCCAAACTCCCTGACCCCGCGCAGATCATCGCGGTCGTCATCACAATACTCGTGGGGAGAAGGAATACGGTCGAGCAACGGCGACTCACCGGCCTTGTACAGGAAATATTCAGATGCGTAGTGGCCGTTGAAGACGGCGCGGAAGAGGACGAAACGGCCCTCCGCGCCGACGCCGACCACGTGTGGCGAATCTGAGAACTCGGAATACGGCCGGTCTTGCAGATGAGGGGGACTGCAGCAGTGGATGGAGAAGATCGACAGCTGCGGTGGGTCGGCCATCCAGAAGGAGACCTCCATGGTAAAGCCATCCCTGGATACGACTGCGGCCGTGGTCTCGTTCTTGCTGTCGGTGAAGCGCGGTTTCCGGGAGAGGAGAATTGAGGCCAGCCGACGCCGACGGGAGGCGATGGCGGCGTCGCCCATCACGACGGGGGTTCCGATTTTAGGGGATCTGGTGGCGTCGCCGGAGTGGAAGGATTTGAAGATTAGGGTTATCTCTGTCTTCTCACGACCCCGAGACCTCTGTTTTTTAGATCAAAGCAACACAACGGAAAAGAAAGCTCATAAAAAGGAAGAAACCCGGTTCAGAATCCTTCTAGAATTATTATTTTCTGAGATTTAGAATTCTTTTTTTAAATTAGATTTAGAATTCTTTTAGAAGGTTCCCAAAACTGGATCTTTGTCCTGTTTTAAAAATGGGTCGGACCATCCGCTCGAGTGCGTTTCGGCGCATAGTTGATGCTTAGCGCGTCAAATAGGATTGCATTTTATTGATTAACGACCAGTTTTACAGGGATTACAGAAGTATCATATGGATTCATAAGCCATAAATAGCGACCCTCCGATAAGTGCAAAGCATGCTTAGCTAAAAAAATGTGCCTCCCGTGTTAGAGGTATGACCCTAAGTGCAAATCATGTTTAGCTAAAACAATATGCCTCCATATTAGAGGTACGACTCTCAAGAACATAACTCAAACTCCTCCTTAGTTTGGTTTATCTCCCTGAGCACCGCACTGTAAGGTCCATACGTGCCCTTGCAGATTTCAATGGCCGCCGATTTGCAATCGTGTGCTATCAACATTCCTTGAAGGAGAAGATATTTAGCTAAGGACAGAGCCTCTCGACAAGGTAGGGCTTCAAGTGTAGCTGGTTTGACTATCCTTGGGAGAACTAATGTCAAGGCTCCCAAATAATGTCTATAGAGTGGTCACCACATACTGTGCTAATAGCGCCCTTATGCTCGTACCTGCTAATTGCACGTCAACAATTTTTTTTTGCTCATCCAGGCGGAATCCAAGCAGGTGAATGGGTTCTTTGAACTAATCATGGTGGAGCTTGGTTCTTAACAATTAGAGATCTCTAGATGTTGATGAACATGAGAGAGCCAATAATACTTTGATGTTCACCTTTATGGATGAGCCTGTGGCGTGCTGACCACATAGCCCAGAGGATGACCGACATGTTTGTGAATTGCGCTGGCGTGGTATAATATGGAACGCCAACACTATTATGTTTAGTTGTGGCGTGCCATTGGTTTCACATCAGCATTGTTATTTTGTCAATGTGAACATTCTTATATTGTCATTTTTATATAGTATATTGTAGTTTGAGACTTTAAATATGTAGTTTGGCACTGCAATATTTTAGTTTAGTTTTATTAAATTTATATTATTTTAAATGAAAATGCTGACATTTTTTCAAATACGTATTTTGAGATTTCAATTTTACATTTTAATTTGAGACTTTAAATATGTAGTTTGACACTTCAAAAAGGAAGAGCAAGAGCAAGGAATTCATTATCAACACACCGTCTATCACCTTTTGAAGAGTGGTGTCTCCTAGATTGGTCAGGTGTTGCTTGGGGCCTCCAACATGATGTGGAGTTGAACAAGAAGTTTGTAAGGGCAAGGAGATCGCCTACTTCATGAAAATATATCCGAGTGAGGCAAGCCCTTTATGGAAGATGGCCATGATGGGATAGACAAGATTGCTTCTTCATGGACCCTTCGTGGGTGGAGCCTTCCGTGGACTTGCGCAGCTGTTACCCTTCATGGGTTGATGTGACGCCCTTGATTCAATCATACACTAATCATGCACGCAAACGTGTACGATCAAGATCAGGGACTCACGGGAAGATATCACAACACAACTCTAAAACATAAAAGTCATACAAGCATCATAATACAAGCCAGGGGCCTCAAGGGCTCAAATACAAGTGCTCGATCATAGACGAGTCAGCGGAAGCAACAATATCTGAGTACAGACATAAGTAAACAAGTTGCCATAAGATGGCTAGCATAAACTGGATACAGATCGAAAGAGGCGCAGGCCTCCTGCCTGGGATCCTCCTAAACTACTCCTGGTCGTCGTCAGTGGCCTGCACGTAGTAGTAGGCACCTCCAGAGTAGTAGTCGTCGTCGACGGTGGCGTTTGGATCCTGGGCTCCAACGTCAGGCTGCGGTATCCGAGAAGAAGAGGAAAACAGGGGAAACGAGGGAGCAAAGCAACCGTGAGTACTCACCCAAAGTACTCGCAAGCAAGGAGCTACACTACATATGCATGGGTATATGTGTAAGGAGGCAATATGAGTGGACTGAACTACAGAATGCCAGAATAAGAGGGGGATAGCTAGTCCTATCGAAGACTACGCTTCTGGGAGCCTCCGTCTTGCAGCATGTAGAAGAGAGTAGAGTGAAGTCCTCCAAGTAGCATCGCATAGCATAATCCTACCCGACGATCCTCCCCTCGTCGCCCTGTGGAAAAGCAATCACCGGGTTGTCTGTGGAACTTGTCTGGGTGTGTTTTATTAAGTGTCCCGTTCTAGTTGTCATAAGGTCAAGGTATAACTCCGGGTCGTCCTTTTACCGAGGGACACGGCTATTCGAATAGATTAACTTCCCTGCAGGGGTGCACCACATAACCCAACACGCTCGATCCCATTTGGCCAGACACACTTTCCTGGGTCATGCCCGGCCTTGGAAGATCAACACGTCGCAGCCCCACCTAGGCACAACAGAGAGGTTAGCACGCCGGTCTAAATCCTATGCGCGCAGGGGTCTGGGCCCATCGCCCATTGCACACCTGCACATTGCGTGGGCGGCCAGAAGCAGAACTATCCCCCTTAATACAAGAGCAGGCTTACGTTCCAATCCGGCTCGCGCCGCTCAGTCACTGACGTCACGAAGGCTTCGGCTGATACCACGACATCGAGTGCCCATATCTTTCCTGCGTAGTTGGTTATTGCGTATAGGCCAATGGCCAGACTCAGATCAAATACCAAGATCTCGTTAAGCGTGTTATCATGAAGCAACCGCAAACGCCGACCAGGGCCAGGCCCACCTCTCACCTAGGTGGCCTCAACCTGCCCTGTCGCTCCACCACAAAGATCCACACAGAGGGCCGTTGGGACAAAGGTCCTTTCAGCCCCCAATCCGTGAATCACTCGCGGGTACTCAACGAGCTGACCCGACTTTAGTCACCATCTGTATAGTATGTATGTATAGTATATACCCGTGATCACCTCCCGAGTGATCACGGCCCGATAGTATAGCAAGGCAGACTGACAAGAATGTAGGGCCACAAATGATAAACTAGCATCCTATACTAAGTATTTAGGATTGCAGGTAAGGTATCAACAGAGGTAGCAACAATGTCAGGCTATGCATCAGAATAGGATTAACGGAAAGCAGTAACATGCTACACTACTCTAATGCAAGCAGTATAGAGGGGAATAGGCAATATCTGGTGATCAGGGGGGGCCTTGCCTGGTTGCTCTGGTAAGAAGGAGGGGTCGTCAACTCCGTACTCGAACTGGGCAGCAGCAGCGTCGGTCTCGTAGTCTACCGGAGAGAAGAGGGGGAAGAAACAATGAATACAATGCAAACATAAGCATGACGATGCATGACATGACAAGGAGCGGTGTTAGGGGTGCCCTAACGCGGTAGTAGGTGATACCGGCGAAAGGGGGAAACATCCGGGAAAGTATCCCCGGTGTTTCGCGTTTTCGGACAAGTGAACCAGAGGGGGAAAGTTGCGTGTTCGCTATGCTAGGGATGTGTGGCGGACGAACGGGCTGCGTATCCGGATTTGTCTCGTCATTCTGAGAAACTTTCATGTAGAAAGTATTTTCATCCGAGTTACGGATTATTTTATATGATTTTCTAAAGATTTAATCATTTTCTGGAATTTATTTAATTAATTTAAATCAACATTATACAGAATAGTATTGGATGACGTCAGCATGACGTATGTGTGATGTCAGCAGTCAACAGTGCGGTTGACTGGAGTCAAAACTGACTTGTGGGTCAAATGGGACCCACCTGTCATTGAGACAGAGGTGAAAAAGGATTTGTTTTAAACTAATTATGATTAACTAAGTGTGGGCCCTATTATTCAGTGACTAATTAGCCTAGATTAATTAACTTATCTAATTTAATTAGCTTATGAGGTGGGGGCCACTGGTCAGCTGTTGGGACCAGCCCAGTCAGCAAGTTGACCATGTTCAACAGGGCCAGCTAGGCCCTTGGGGCCACCAGGCAGTGACCCAGATGGACCCCAGCGGCATGCCACGTCGGCGGGCGGCGGAGGTTCACCACCGGCGACCGAAAACACGGCGGAGGGGCGCGGACCTCGCCGGAATCACGCCATGGTGGCCCATTTGGGGCGTGCTTAGGCTCGCTCGGTCGAGCGCGAAGAGGCTCATCTAATGGTGGCGGTGGCTCGGCCGGAGGAGGGCCACAGCGTCACCGGCGACGGGCGGGGCAGACGGCGAGGCTCGGCGAGTGCGAAGGCGAGGCTGCGGGGCTGGGTTCGTTCGAACGCAAAGACGAATCCGCGTCGAACGGTAGGGATACCGCGGCCGGAGTTGCCGTGTAGCGACGACGGCGAGCAGCGCGGCGGACGCCGGCGTTTGGCCGTGAGAGGAAACGGCGTTGCGGCGCGTTATTTGGCAAACTGAAGGGCGGGGCGAGGCCTACGTGCGTGCTCGAGCACAACTGCACGAGCCCGGGACCAAATGGTCATCGGAGACTCGTTGGCGACGAGCTCCGCGGCGCGGCGTTCGGGTGTTCGGCAACAACTAGGTAGGGCGCGAAAGAGAGAGAGGAGGGCTCACCGAGCGGCACACACGGTGGCCCTTGGTGGGTTTAGTAGCTGCAGGGGCGTCGCCGGAGTTGGTGAAGAGCGGCGATGTAGCTTGTCAGAGCAGAGGAGGAAGACGACAGCGTCGTGGGTGCTGTGGTGGCTCCGAGCTCCAACTGTGGCCACCAGTCGACGAGGAGGACGAAGGCGGAGATGAACGACACGCAAGCGAGGCGAGGCGAGGGTTGTGGCCGCGCGTTTCACGGCGGCGGGTCCATGGTGGCATCGGATGTGGTGGGGGAACGAGGAGGGAGCGTGGTGGATCTGAGGGGAGAGGGAGAGGC